ACACACACACACACACACACACACACACACACACAACAACACACCACACACACACACACACACACACACACACACACACACACACACACACACACACACACACACACACAAATTATCTTAAAACATTTCTACTTTTATAATTAACCGCAAACGCTGCTCAAAATCTGGCGAGCGCCTAGCTATATCACTCAAATGTCTTTCATTCGTTGTTTTATTTTATTTTAGCCGCATCATGTTTATGCGTTTGCTGCTGTTCGCGTCGCTTGCCGTGTTGGCAAGTGCCGGCTCCAGGTATGGCGGCCGCGTGCACATCGAAGGACTTCCCCTGCACACGGGATATACTAACGGTGAGTATTTTTTTATTTTTTTATTATGATGTGTCAGTATGTAGTACGTCACGATCATGCGTATTTTTACCGGTAGAGGTCGTCGCGTACGAAGTGACGCGCGAAATATCGACGTCGTCGTCACACTATTAAACACGAATGAAAAAACAATTATCATTCAATAATAATAGCGATTCTATACATCGTGATATGAGTGCATGATGTAAACACTAACGAACGCGTGTACTTTACAGTTGGCTATGGATATGGACACGGATCCGGGCACGGGCTAGGAAGTGGCTACGGACTTGGACAGGGATACGGATTCGGACTTGGACAAGGATACGGATACGGTCTCGGAAATCTATACGGATTTGGAAGACACGGCTTCGGAAACCGTTACGCCAGGCAGGATGACGACGATGACAACGATGATGGTGATGATAATGCTGATGATGGTGATGATGGCGATGACGACGATGACGACGATAGCGGTGATGATGACGAAGGCGACGATGGCGACGATAACAAGGGAGATTACGGTAAACTGAGACCGTTCTGTGGCATCTACGGCTGCCGCAGGCTCGGCTACGGACGTCGCCTCCGATACGGAAACGCGCTCGGATACGGCCGTAATTATGGTAACGGTTACGGTTACGGATTGGGCGGACGTGTCGCGCACGGTGCCGTCCGATACAACGGCTACGGTCATCTTGGTTTCAGCCGCAACCATCTGACTTACGGCGGACCCGGATACGGCGGATATGGATACGGTAGACTCGGACACGGTTACCATTAAACGTGGCAACGTTCCTGTAAACAATACTGGCTCTTATAAAGCTACGCGAGTAGCTCGGATTCCGGAATGCGAGTAACATAATGGAAAAACGTTTTCTAGTTATAAAATTGAGTATTTGATTTTCTTCTTGTTAAATCCTCATCGTGTGATTTTCTGTGTTTTGGTGTTTAGAACATGTACGGTTCGCGTCTTGACCTGTGAAAATAAATGCACTTCTTTCATTGCACTTCATGAATTTTGTCTTATAAGATAACATAACACACACACACATATATATATATATATATATATATATATATATATATATATATATATATATATATATACACCGTAACTATATACATGTCGTGTTCAGACTCATCGGCTTAGACAAACGAATATGCTAACACAAGGGGCAAAGGCCGGGAACTAGAATAGGGGAGAGAGAGCGACAGAGATAGATAGCGTGAGAGAGAGAGAGAGAGAGAGAGAGATAGATAGATAGATAGATAGAGAGAGAGAGCGAGAGAGCGAGCGAGAGCGAGAGAGACAGAGCGAGAGAAAGAGAGAGAGACAAACAGAGATAGAGACAGAGATAGAGACAGAGACAGAGACAGAGACTGGTAAACTGATTGTGAACTGACTGGTATATATATATGCAGCGGACACCTTACATGATGGAAGGTCTTCTTCCTATTTTTTAAGAGAAATGTACTGATGGAATGTTATCATTTAAATCTATGCTGGAACACCTCTTCCCCATTTTAAAGGTATAAAGTTCGTAAAATATTAGTCTTCTCGAGAGATATTGCGCATGTCCGAGCACCGTTTCAGTCGTGCAGTACGGACCGAGAAAAACTGTATAATATACATTGCTAAGGGTTGGGAGACTGAGAAAAGGCGGCAAGAAAGATAGCTGAAAGGCGGTAGAAGAAGAAGGAGGCTGAGCAAGGGAGGCATGGAGAAGGTGGTGAGGGGGTGAAGTAATAGTTTTGCACCCTACAGGCTAGGGCGCTCTGCTAATTATAAACACGGGGCTACTAATAATAATTAATTACATAAATCTATGCTGAGATACACCTAAACCATATTAAATACATATCCATCGCAAAATATAACTCTTCTGGTGAGATATTGCGCATGTGCTAACACTCTAAGGTAGTCAAATTGTGTACTGACTGGTATATGCAGCGGCGACCTTACATGCAAGGTCGTCTTCCTATTTCTTGAGTGAGTTCTACTGATGGAATGTTATCATGTAAATCTATGCTAGAATACCTCCTCTCTATTTTAAATGCAGAAACTTCGCAAAATATTTTTTATCACGGGAGATATTGCGCATGCGCGAGCACAGTTTTCGTCGTGCAGTAGGACTGCATGAAGACAACTGCATAATCCTAGTATAGCTTGCTGAGAGTGAGAGGGGTGTGAGAGTGAGGAAAGGCGGCAGGGAAGATAGCTGAAGTGCGGTAGAAGAAGAAGGAGGCTGAGCGATGGACAAGGGAGGCATGGAGAAGGTGGTGAGTAGGTGAATTAATGGTTTTGCACCCTACAGGCTAGGGTGCTCTACTAATTATAAACACAAGGCTACTAATAATAATTAATTACATAAATCTATGCTGAGATACACCCTAACCATATTAAACACATATCCATCCCAAAATATAACTTTTTTGGTGAGATATTGCGCTTACACACTAACACACTAAATCACGCTAACACACTAAAGTAGCCAGATTGTGTACTGACTGGTATATGCAGCCGGGAATCTTGCATGCAAGGTCGTCTTTCTATTTCTTAGGTGAGTTCTACTAATGGAATGTTATTATATAAATCTATGCTAGAATACCTCCTCTCTATTTTAAATGCATAAACTTCGCAAAATATTATTCCTCACGGGAGATATTGCGCATGAGCGAGCACCGTTTCAGTCAGTCGTGGAGTACGGACTGAAGACAACTGCATAATCCTAGTATAGCTTGTTGAGAGTGAGAGGGGTGGGAGAGTGAGGAAAGGCGGCCGGGAAGGTAGCTGAGGGGCGGTAGAAGAGGAAGAAGGCTGAGCGAGGGACAAGGGAGGCATGGAGAAGGTGTTGAGTAGGGGAAGTAATGGTATGGCACCTTACAGGCTAGGGCGCTCTGCTAATTAGATAAATCTATGCTGAGATACCTCCTAACCATATTAAATACATATTCATCACAAAATATTTCTTTTCTGGTAAGATATTGCGCATGCGCTAACACACTAAGGTAGCCAGATTTTGGACTGACTTGTATATGCAGCAGGAACCATTAGCGTAGACTAACGAATATGCTAACACACGAGGCAAAAGCGAGATATAGAATGAGAACGAGGTAGGGGAGAGAGCGCGACAGAAATAGAGAGAGCGACAGAGAGAGAGAGAGCGCGCGAGAGAGAGAAGAAGGGAGGGAGGGAAGGAAAAGAAAAAGAGCGAGTCAGATATACACATAAACTGGAGACTGTATCAGACAGGGACAGAGAACAAAGAAGGAACAGTGACAAAGACAGACAAAGGGACAGAGACAGACACAGATATAGAAACAGAGACAGAGACAGACAGAAGGAAACAAAGAAAGAGAGGGGAAAGTGATCTATAGAGAACTTGAGATAGATCGATTGATCGATCAATCGATAGATAGATAGATATCTAGTTATCTAGATAGATAGTTAGATAGTTAGATAGATAGATAGATAGATAGATATAGATAGATAGATAGATAGATAGATAGATAGATAGATAGATAGATAGATAGATAGATAGATAGATAGATAGATAGATAGATAGATAGATAGATAGATAGATAGATAGATAGATAGATAGAATCTATCTATCTATCTATCTATCTATCTATCTATCTATCTATCTATCTATTCTATCTATCTATCTATCTATCTATCTATCTATCTATCTATCTATCTAGGATAGATAGATAGCTAGATAGGTATCACGTTATGTCTTTGTGACGTCACCTGTATATTTACAATGCGCACGACATTGATTTATGGATTTCCGTGTTTTGATGTTGTGATGTTATCTGATGTTGTCGATTTTCTTACCACAGATTGAATGTCCGATTTAATGGTCTGCAATCAACTGGATTTTCTTACAACAGTGCAACGACTTCATCGTTGTTTGACGCCGCGTGGTTTCGGAATTCGCGTATGCGCCTAACCACGATTATTCTAATCTCCCGATGCGGAAATTCAGTATTTTTAACCCAAATTAACATATATTGTACAAATATTGTACAGCTGTTAAAAAAAATTTTCTACCAGCGAGAAACACCAGTATTTGTACGGTGTTGCATTCCTGGGGGACTAACATCACGTGAACTGAAGACGGAAGTTTGCGATCAGAAATTAATTTGGCTCGCAACGAGGTTCCGTTGTGAGCACATGCTCAGATGTAGGTAGATACAAAATGTGTTACTACCACCCGACTCATTCCAGTAACTATATGAGACGGGAAATATTTAAAATCTCCTTAAAGAACATGCGATGGGGTTATAGGGACAGACGTGTCTGTCCGATTCTTGCATTTTTCGTTGCCGATGGATGGCGCCAGTGTAGCGCGTGAGAAAAGCGGTGTAAATGCTAAACGAAATATATTAATATATATAATTTTGTTTAAATTATATACTTATAGTGAGCACATACTCAGATGTAGATAGATACGGAAAATGTTGATAACAAAAAAATGTTGTTACTTTAGTAATAAGTATAAGACTGAAAATGTTTCAAAACGTCTTAAAGCATGCGATAGGATAATAGGGACAGAATGCCTGCGCGCATACCTACTATCTGCTAACAGAAATCACATTTTGTTGGAATTAAGCATTTAAAAATGCATAATTTATGTGTTTTATTTCTCTCATATAATAAGTGGTCGCCCGTTCTTCTTGACATTCCGATTCCGTATATTATTAGTTGCCGTTGGTCGGCGCTAGTGTCGCGCATGAGAAGCAGTGTAGGATGCCAACAACTGTATATTCAACATGTTCTGATTGCATCTATGA